TGCTGCGCAATAGCTATTTTGACTTAAGTAGCAGAACATGTTTTTGTTTAGTTGAAAGGTTGCAGTCCTCACTCTGTTCTTTGCAACCTGTTCTGTGCTTCCTGGGTCTTAAATTGGATCTAAAACAGGCTATTTGGACCCTATTTATCCATAGCTCCAACTTACAGGTGTGACCTGAACGTGCAACATGCAGGGAAGTTACTGTTTTGGAAGGAGTGCAGCTACAAGGATACACTCACTAAATGTGTGTGATTGTGCCTGTTTGAGATGTGGCTGTGCACAGGAGGCTTTTGTTTTGTTGGGGTTATAATTTGGGTTTTAAGGGTTAAAACTAGGATTTGGGTAGGGTTTGGCACCTGATGGTTTATTTTAGGATTAAGAGGATGGACAATGGATTAATGTCACTAAATGTTCTCATACAGACAGGAATACAAACATAGCTGCACCCTCCGCCCACATACACACAACCAACTGTAGGTATTCATTTATCATTGTGTAATTACTTAATAGTTACTTAATAACGACGTGGACATGACAAACTAATTAGTGCCTCCAAAAACAGTCTCTCGTAAAGGTGACTGCTTGCAAAGCATGGCATACGTCAAAAGATATGTATCTACATATAACAAGTCAAATTCTGAACGCCAGAACATTCAAGTGCAAATGTTTTTAGTGAGACATTCAGATTTAAATACTGTGAAGAAAGTTTCTTTGAAAAGACAATGGGACGGTTTCATCACTCTATAAATGTGTGCCGAGCAATCAGAAGATCCTCTGCCACATGTCACAAACCAGTTCCTCCTCTTTGTGAGTACACATCTTTACTCTCGGTAAGAAAACATTGTCATCATTAGCGATAAATTAATATAAACTCTGATCGAATGCCCAAACCCATCCCCAAACCCCCTAAAACATAACCTCACATACAAAAAGTTCACGTAGCAATTGAGTTTATAAATCTATACTTTATTACAGAATATTACCTTTTATAGTAAATAAGACCTTTTTTTGTTCCCATATTTGTACAGATGCAGTATGATCTCTTACAGGATGTGTTCACTAAGCAGTTTTGCATAGTGCTCAGGGTGATTTCTTTTGAGGTAAACATCCATTTTTCCTTTAACTCGCTGATCTCCAGTAAGCCCTGTGAAAAAGAAGAGAAAAAAGTCTTCACTACTTCACAGGTACGCTTAATAATACACAGTATAAGGCAGTGGATGTGTTAAATGTTTGAGAGCGTATACCCAGCTTTTCTGCCGTTTTTCTGATCTTCTCCAGTGCAGCCTGCTCATCTCCTCCCTCTGATATGAGGACTTCTATCTCCCCCACATGATAGCCAAAGTCAGCCTGGTCCAGATCGATCTGCACGCCCTCCTCCTTTAAAGTAAACGAGCACCGTGCTGTTGTAAACTCTGCAAAGCACACCAGGTCCAGTTTGCTCAGCCACGACTCATCTTCCTGTGAGAAGCCCGCCTCTGACTCTCTGTCCTGTTTTATGACCTCTTTGACTCTCAGGTGAATTTCAGGCAGGCTGGTTATCTCCTTGTAACGGGTGCACAGCGATGCTGCTGCTTCACCCTGCTTCCCGCTCTGCGCTTCTGCTGTCGGGCACTTGAGCTCCCAGCATCCTTTACGTTTACGCAGCCACATGTCCCTCAAAGTCAGGTGAAACTCAGGAGTATCGAAATACTGGTCGTGAATCTGCTGTTGGCCAACGCAAACTGCTGATGGAAAAAGGGATTTTTTAAAATAGATAATTTAATAAATAAAATGTAAAAAGGCTGATACAGATAATTAAACTTCATCATTAACCAAAGACAGATGGCCAGTGTCACTACAGTTAGACAACAACCACAGGAATTAGTGCCATTAAATGCTGGAAAAGCCTTTCAGTGGCCGTTTATAATTCGTCGTGGATCAGAGCGTCAGATAAATGCCTCCGATCTGACTGGATTCATGTGTAAATGTGTGGCGGACAAATTAAACACATACCCCCGATCTCCTCCAGTTTTTTCAGGGTGTCGGCATTGCATAAAAATTTCCTTTCCACTTCAACACTCATCTAAAAGAAAACAAACAAGAAAAACAAGAAAGAAAACATGGTGAGATCCAAAGTGATAGTGTAATGCACTGCAAATACGCCCACGTCTACTTTAAAGTCACTGTAGGAGTGATATAAATAGAATGGTGTATGTTGTATATGATGAGTTAATGCTCTCATTGGTGGGCAGAAAGCACAGACTGACTGTGTTATGGGAAATGTTTTGTTATGTTGCTGTAACACCACTGCTGATGAGTGGTGGTGAAGATGACCTGTTGGGGGTTCAAACAGAGCAACAGACGGGAAGGAAGGTGACTAAAGTGAATTTGAATGTGACAAGATTGTTAACAGGCTGCTTTGAGTATTTCAGAAAGTGATGATCTGCTGGGATTTTCACACAAAACCATCTCTAGGGTTTCCAAAAAAAAACCTTCTGAGAAAGAGAAAACATCCAGAGGGAAGTAGTTCACTGGGTGAAAACACCTTGGTGATGCCAGAGGTCAGAGGAGAATCGCTAGACTGCTTTGAGCTAATAGGAAGGAAAAAGTCAAAGAACTACTTGCTACAACCAAGGTATGCACAAGAGCATCTCTGAATGCACAACAAGTCAAACCTTGAAGCAGACAGGCTACAGCAAGCTAAGAACAGGACTAGAAAAACATTGCCTTGTCTGATGAGCCTCGATTTTTGCTGTGACATCATGATGGTAGGGTCAGAAACTAGTGTAAACAAGAAAGCATGGATCCATCCTGCTTTATATTAACAGTTCAGGCTGCTGCTGGCAGTGTAATGGTGAAGGGAACATTTTGTTGCCACATTTTGAACCTCTTAGTAGCAACTGAACATGGCTTAAACACCACAGCCTACCTGAGTACTACGGGAAAAATGTTAACTAATTTGATGGCCCTCCATTGCTCGATGGTGGGGTCAGAATTTAGCGTGAACAACGAGCTAGCAAGTGTTATTTTTTGTTTTTCTTAATAAAAGTGAGTTTACTGTACTCAAATGCCCTCACCAGATCTCAATACAGCAGAGCACCTTTGGGATGTGGGGGAACGCAAGTGCAGCTGGACAAAACGGCAGTAACTGTGTGATGCTTTCATGTCTATGTGGAGCAAAATCTCTTAGGAATGTTTCCACAGCTTATTGAATGTATGCCATGAAGAATTAAGGCAGCTCTAAATGTAAAAAATCCAATCCAGTACTAGCAAGGTATACCTAAGTGGCTGGCAAGTACTGCCAAAATTCAGCCTGTAATTTAACCTGCTCTACACTGAAATACAGTACAAGCATCAGTAATAATACAGTTATACTAATATAATAATATTAAGAAAATTATATAACCTTTAGTTTTCTATATTTTGACTAAAATTAGGTTATATACATAAATGTCTTTCCTCGTAAAAGGTTGTTTACATTGTGCTATTGCTAATGATATGCTAACTTTCTTCCACTTAAACAGCCACCCCAGTTACTATTGACTGTCCTTAAATGTTATAATGTAACCTATGTATGTTACAAAATAACAAAAACGTATCTCCATTAGTAAGTTACACCGGTCTAATTATCACACTCGAGCCGTTCAGCCCAGGCGGTGCAGCTGCTGTGGAATCGTGCGGGAGCTACATGTCAAAATCAACAATATGAACCACAGAGTCTCCAAAAAAACACCAAGTGTACCGTCACACACCTTCACGCATCAGCTCCTTCACTCCAAACAATTCGGCTTTGAAATCAGAGAAAAAGCTCAATCCGTGCGACCTCTACACGTCAGCAACGTTTGATTTCGCACAGGCGCAATTAAGGACACCTATTGGTATATTCAGGAAAATCACTTCCTGTCCCAGAAACGCAGGGGACATACAGATGGTGCAGTTTTAATCCGCTCCGCTTCATAAATATTTATCCCACATAGTCGGCTGTTGATGTGCGCCACACCTATAGTTTGAGTGAAAACATGTCAGAATTCGTGCGGAGGAGGGTGTGAGGAGGCCGGCGAAGGGAAGCTCCGCGGTCACATCTCCATTATTCAGCTTTAATTAAGTCGTCACACTCTTTGTGACAATCTAAGTTGGCAGAATGGGGACTCATTTATTATTCACCTTTTAATGTGAAAATGAGGAAGAGCTCTCGCATTTAAGGGGCATTCCGTGTAATTTGAGCATTAAGATATTTCTTTCTCCCCCCACCACCTCTCTAAATGAATATATCATTCATCCTAAATTTCCCCCTTTTTCTCTTTGTCTTAATTAATTCTATTACCCAATAATAAGCGATCAGTGTTTCAACATACATTAATTATCTGTAATATCTGCGGGGTTACATAAGGGATTTGATTGCCGTGTCTGTCCCCTCTGAATGTCAGCAATCAGCCTCGGGGGGAGCTGTGGTCTGTTTACTAGAGGGAAGAGGGGAAGGAGAGAGGGATAGGGCGAATGAAGGGAGGGGGAGAACAGGAGAGAGAGAGAGAGAAAGAGAGAGAGGGAGGGAGGGCAGGCAAGAAAACTTTTCACTTCTGAGGAGCCACAGAGGAAGCGTGTGTGTGTGCGTGCGTGTGCTGGAGCGGCGACCATGCAGGTAAAAAAAAACGCATTAGCTAATTGCTCCGAACTTAATTAAACGCCATTCGCGATCGGTTAATTGTGCCGATTTGAGCGGGGAGAGTGGCCTGCGACTGCTACAGGATCGAGCAAACGACGGATCGTGCCCCATACTAATCCGATCCCTCATAGAAATCCAACATTAAATCCCAAACTTTTTTCTCTCGCCTCTCGTCTCTCTCTTTTGCCTGGCTCTCCCTACACCACCCCCATCGTCGAGGCGACCGCCGCGCACGTACTCTGCTTTTTTAACTCGCTTTTCGGTGTCTAATTCTTTCGCCAATTACGGCTCGAAGCTCTTAAAACGCTAGTTTAAATGGCCATGTGTTGCACCGTGAGTGTTTAAGGTATGGATTTGAGCGCTAGGACGCGTCCAAAAAGGGGGTCTTGCTGGGCGGCGAGGGAGGAGGGGGTGCGAGTGCTTCTAACACATCTGTAAGCGGAGCCCACGTTCATTAATTAAATGGCTTTAGTCCGGCTAGGCCTCAATTTGCGCTGTTGAGCAGCAGGCGGCGGGCAGTGCAACACTAGATGCCCGACTGGCAGCCTATAATCAGAGGGGTAAGGAAATAACTCGAGGCCGAGGTTTTGTTTTTTATTTTAATATGAAGCCTATGAGTCTATCGTCTATCCTGGGTAAACTCGCTCGGTTATTGAAGCTGCAGTTTCCCCACCTGGCCGAGGCAGAGTTTTGTAGGGAGTGTAGAGCGGCCAGTTGGGAGACAGTTTGAGGAGCGGTTAATTATCTCTGCCTGCTAACAGGCTAGCTAGCAAAGTGACACGACTGTTAATAGCACAGCCCCCCACCCCCTCCTTTTTGTTTATTAATTTAATCATCGCTCAGCCTTAACCGAGAGAGCCAGGAGCGAGATTACGCGGACGCCTGCCTTGTCTTTTACAGTTTCGGAGAAGTGTGGCTGTGACTGCAGGTTTTTATTTTCAGTAAACTAACTGGCAGCCAGCGTTTCCAGAAACACCACTGTAATGCGACGTTACAGGGGGGGCTTCACAGCGCCTAGCTTGCTAGCTAATTGATTCGTCTCTGCTCGGCATAGCTAATTAGGCTGCTCGTTAATTAGCCAACTACGGCCAAGAAGATGCCAGTTTAGGTAGGTCTTCTGCTTTTGATGATTAAACTCGTGACTAGGAGCTATTAAACGCGATACACTCTGCAGATGTAGACTCGTCGAAATATTATCTGGTCATATAACCCTGCTAGCTTGCTAATTGGCATGACGAGGAAGTGAGGATGGGAGCTGTGTTGGTATTTCTCCTCATGGGCACGAATTCCCGTGTTTTTCCGCTGCACCTTTGATTGTGAATTTTAGCCGAAGTATACATGAAAGCTCTGTGGTAATATTCACACTACCAGCGGTTTGTTTGGTTTCCTTAAGACTGTATGGGAGCCCGAGTATTTCATTTATTTTTTTTAATCCTGCACGGTGAGCGAGTACAGTGTGGTATCAGAATATATGCAGTATGCTGGGCACATGTTCCTCGTATTAGTCAAAACCAGTGGGGATATTTGTGATCTGAGAGACAGGGTACTTGTAAATTCGGGCAGTGCATGTTATGATTTGCATCGAGTGTGCTCCTCTGGTTATTCTGCATTTATTTCGGTATTGTATGTACGGATTTATTGTCAGAATGGCAACAAAGATATGTTTATTAAGTCGATCTTGTATCCAGGAGCAACTTTGAGTTCGCATCAGTGCCTTGTAAATTCATCTACGAGTGTGAGGTGTACTCATTTACATTACAAAGCTGCCACTTAAACAGTTTGAGTTGATGTGTAATTGGTCGTTGTGGACAAATAATAGCAATCTCTTTAGAAAGTTAGAAGTGCAACTCTTGTGACACTGAGGTACTTATTTGTGATTAGATTTATTGACGTGGATATTCATCCAGTAACAGTTTGTCTTGGTCTGTGTCTAACTCCCTCCTTGAGCTTGGTCCGTCCCTTTCATAAACTGCAGTTATTGCATCACATCTTAATTTCTTTCTTTTTCTATGAAATACTTTATGCATCATTTATTTTTGTTTTGTTTTGCTTTGTTTTTCTTTTTCGCAAAGAAACCACTCCTGAAGGGCAGGATTCTCAAACGTCTATTTGTGTTTGTTAGGAGGAGTCTGGAGAGGCGGTGTGCAGTGAAAGGAATGGGGTGGCAGAGTGGTTGTGCCCCCTGTGCCAAAAAGGGCAATCAGACAGATCTTCCCTATCTCTACATCTCACCCAACAACACAGCGTGCTTTCATCGTGTGTCGACAGGTTGCTGGATATTGTAAGTGTGGCATGGCATTATGGCCAAAGTATGTCAAATTATGGCTGAGTTCATGTTTTTCCCCCCTCCTTCCTCTTGTTATACAGCCTGATTATATTGGGTAATATATCAGTTACGTGCATAATGTTTAATGATCTCACTTCTTCCTGGCTGTTATACAGGGATTAGACATAATAACTTAAATCAAATTCACAACTTCTTAAAAATTTTTTTCCTGTGATGCTTATCCAACTTAATAGTTGCTTTTGAGGCAGGAAAGTTACACAAGCCTTAGTGTCGATGCTGTAAATGCTGGGGTAACAAATGCATGATTAATTAAGTGACGAGGCAAGCACAGAAGTATCAGAAGTCATGGTGATGAATGCAAAACAGGAAAAATACATTGTCAAAGAGGAACAGTGGTCAGAGATAGACTGTAATCTACTGTTAAAATAAAACCAGTGCGCCAGTGTTTAGTGCTGAGGTATTGTAGTTTCCTCTCTGTTGTAGCTGGCATAGTATGAAATGCATTAGAAAATTGGCATTGTTAAGCAATGGAAAACACAACTAAGCCAGTTAAATTCTTAATTTGTAATACCGTTTACTTAAAATCAAGAGGAAAAATGTATTTCTATACAACCATTGGTGATACATAGATCTCAGTAGTATATGCAGTACCGTGCAAAGTATTGAGTCACTCCTCTCTGTGTATGTGTCATTTTTCATTCATATATATATATATGACTTTCTGAAGGTCTTTGAAAGGTTTTCTTTGAGCATTGGCTAATTTTTTTTTTTACTCGCCTTTTCTTTAGTCCATGTACTGACCATTTTCAGAGGAAATGGTCAGTACATGGACAAACAAATGTTTTGTTTGTTTGTTATAGCACCTAACTGAAGGGATGAAACTGTGTTGAATGTTGTCTACACAACGGAGAACTTGACTAAGAACCATTTTTAAAATGTATTTTTAGACACTTTGTTACTAGCAGCTTGTCACAAAAACACACTTGTTCTCATTTCTTTAGGTGACTATTTAAAAATGTCCAAGATCAAAGATAACAGGAACCAGCTTTATTTATTTATTTATTTTTCACCGATAGGGTGAGCCCTTCATGGCATGGTGTGCAGTGTGCCCTTAAAAAATTGAGTAAACTGGACAAGTGGAGGACAAAAGAAGTGGTAGCCTTCTAAAACTATGATGAATAGCATCTGAAAGTCATGTCCTTAGGAAATTGGCAGGACAATCTAGTAAAGACCTGACACAGAACCTGAGAGGTGCATCTGGCCCTTCAGTTGATCCATCACTGAAGCCTCATCTGAAATGGTCTCAGTGGAAGGGTGTCTGTCAAAAAAAATCATTGAGTAAAGGAAACTGAGAGAAAAAGCTGAGGTATGACAAAGTACACAAATAGACTGTAAATCTGTGTCAACAGATCTTTTTTTTTTTTTTTTTTTTTTTTTTTCACTGAAATTATTATCAGTATTTTATAGAGGAGGCTAGGACAGTACAACAGTGATCATCCTTAAAACACAGTGGAGGCCCTGTCATTGTTTGGAGCTGCATTTCAGTCATTGGTGTTGGGGATCTTGTGAAAATGATTGAATTATGAAAAGCAATGTCAGATTTTTGAGCTACCATGCAATATATTTTAAGAAGCGGTTAATTTTTGCTGCATGACAGTAATCCCAAACACACTGCCGGTGAAGTAATATTTGGATAGAAGAACACAAAGAAACATTCAGTCATGGACTGGCCTCCCCAGAGCCCGGACCTCAACATTATTGAAGCTGTGTGGGATCATCTTGGTAGATAACAGGAAAAAAAAGTCAGACAACATCCAAAGAAATGCTTTGAATGTCTTTCGAGATGCCTGGAGAACTATTTCTTAATACTACTTAAAGCAATGATAAGGGTTCAGGCTGTGTTACTGGTTAAAAGTGGTCATACCAAATATTGATTTTAAAACTTTTTAGAATTGTGTAAACTTGCTTTAAACTGATATTTTCATCTGTGTTAGCGCAAGACTTTTGCACACTACTGTAATTAATAGTAGTTTAAAATGTGATTAAAGTAATTTCTGTTTTCATGACTTGTTTGTGCATATCCCCTTTGTGTAGTCAGGACTGTGATCGTTGTTTAAATAGTTTGAACATCTCATTGTTTGGCTTAGCCTGTTACCGAGTATGTCACTTTGAAAGTATTTAAGTAGCCATCACATTTGAAAAAGTAAGCATCTCTGTGAACAGTCTGTAAAGAACCACGATGGTTTAGTTGTGTATAATGTTAAGAAATGAAGGGAATTTTACTGGTGGCTCAATTGATCAAAGACTACTTAATTTATGCCTGAAGGGTAATTTGCAAATTAAAGGCAGGCTCGCTATGTGTAATATAACCACACATCAATGAGTCACACCCAAATGTTGTGCTTCACAGAAGCTACATTATAGCATTCAGCTCATCTCGAAAGAGCCATTCCGCAGTCAAGTTTGCTATGGAAATTTTGCTGACTCTCTCCTTTTCTGTTATCAGGCTGTTCTAAAACGGGCTGCCCGTGTAGACGAGGACAAAGGCGCTCACAAGTCCTCAGGTGAGAGTGATGCTTGTTTTTGTAATTAACGCATGAGAAGTAAACTATAAAATTGAAAGGATAATAACACATGCCCGTTGTTGTCGTAACCGCACTAATTGGATATCTCAACAACTTTAACTTGGTTGACCTTTACTGATTGATGGTGATAATCTATTTTAAAACTATGTAAAGACAAAAGGAGGCTCGAAGAGTAAGGTTAGAGCATGCTTTTGGAGTGGAAAATCCTCTCACTTATACAAATTACATGCCGTATGTAAATGTACATTTATTGTTTACTACACCACTGATTTGATTTTGATTGTTCATTGTGTATTTATCTTATCAGATGCTGAGTCTTCACAACTGAAGCCTGCTGAAGACATCACTTCAGACCCCTGCAAATCTATCAAGAGTTCAGACGCTACCCAGACGCTTGGAGACAAAGAGATGGAGGAAGAGAGAATAATGGAACAGGAGGGAGGTGAAGCTGAAGCCGAGCCAGAAGAGGAGGGAAATCCACTTACAGGAGCCAAACAGCAAAATGCAACTGAAAACACAGAAATCCCAGACGCTAGTGAAAAGTCAGTTGGTAAAAACTGTGTGCCAGCTGAAAATAACACCCGTTCATTCAAATGTAATGCCTGCTTGGAAAGTTTTCCCAGCAGAACTGCCTTGAGTGTTCATTACAACTCTGCATCCCACATTCAGAGAATGACAACAGGCTCTGGAAAACAAGGTGCAGAAAGTAGTCCCCAAACTCCTTCAGTTCCAATCCTGTCTCGGCCATATATATCAAACAAACCCTACCAGTGTTCTGTATGTCGAGTCTCCTACAATCATGCCATCACCCTTGAGAGCCATATGAAATCTGTCTTGCACCAGACCCGCAGCAGAAATGCTGGAATTGCTGCACATGCTGCAAACAGCGCAGTGGCTGCTGCTGGTTTGAGAGGCAGCGCTGCCAACCCAGTAGTTACCACGTCGGAAAGTGGAAGCAGTCAGTCAGCTACCTCCACCAACTGTGCTGCTCCTGGGACGTTGATGGTGACTGCTGCGAAAGAAGGCGAGCAGATTCCAACTTCACAAGTGGCTCCCTCCCTCCTCACTTCCCCTGTGGCCTCAGCTCAGGCGGTCTCGGCCTTTCTCACCCTCCTCACTTCCAGTCCCAACACGCTGTCACACTCCCTCCTCCCCTCCCTGTTTGCAGCTAGTGCTGCTCCTGGTGCCGCTGCACCTCAGCTTGTGCCTCAGCCTCAAATGGTCATGCCCTTGATCTTAAATGGGCTCCAAGCCCAAACCCAGCAGCACCAAGAGAACCAGCAGGGCCAGCTCCTTACCCAGTGCGTGCCACTCGTAGGTCTCAGCACAGCCCAGCAAGCCCTTCTAACCCAAAGACTTAACAGCTTACAGAACCAGTGGCCCTCTGCAGGAGTTCCAACAAACATACAGCTCTGTGGGGAAGAGCAAAAACAGACTTTAAAGAGTGAGAGAGAACAAAAAAGTGAGGCTAGAAATGAGACTGTTGAAGAAAAGATCTCTGATCAGGTCAAAGATGAGCATAACCGTACTGCCCAGAAACATAAGGAGGAGAACAGTACAGACGTTTCACAGTGTTCTGATATAGAAAGTAACATAAAGGTTGAGAATAATGAAAACAATGGGAAGGCACATGAAGACAGCACAACAGATGGAGACTGCTCAACAAATCAGTTGGACCTGGAAGGTGATAAAGCAGCTAGCCTGAATCTCTCCCCAGCGGGCACAGAGAAGAGCCTCCGCAATAACAACCTCTCCCCTTCTGCATCTGTGCCCAGCAACTCGAGCCTCAGTCCTGTAAATTTAAACCTTACCCTTAGTCCTGATTCTACTCCTCAAAAATCCCAATCAGGCACAAGCCCATGTGGCTCTCTTGGCACTCCAAAATCCAGCTCAAGTACCAATGCCTTAACTAACAGCCAAAATCGTCTTCATTGTAATACAGTGGATTCCATTTATCCAGACCTTCCAGTGCTTTCAGAGTTCCAGTCAGAGGTTCTCTGGGCCTTCTTTGAGTCACGTAGTGAGGCTGATGCTGCAAGTCCTCCCCATGAGGACTGTGAAGCGCTGGGCCGAGAGGTGGGTCTTTCTGAAGAAGAGGTTCGAAGGTGGCTGACCCAAGCTAGACACACAAAACAAAGACAGAGGGCGACAGAGTTGGAACAGCTGACCGGTGTTACAAGAAATTGTCAGAGTTCTGATAATGACTATGATGACGAGGAAAGCTCACTCATAATAGCAGAAGGTGAGGATGATGCTGAACCATTTAGTAATCAGGCCATGGATTTGTCTAGTACAAGAGGGAAACGCAAACACAGGGAGTTGGGAAGGGAGGGTCAGGGAGATTCCTGTCTCACATCGGATTCAGAGAATGAGGTCTACACTTCTGTCATTGTTTCAGATGAGGAAAGTCAGAATGGGTCTTTAAGAGATGATCCTGAAAGCCCTGCTAAAGACGAAGCACAGCGGGAGGTCCACGGCGATAAGGGTTCAGTTGGAGGAAAGGTATTGCGCTCCACGACTGTGTTTCTTTCCGATGCAGAGGATGAATACGAAGATGAGGATGGCGGAGGTAGTCAAGGGGCCAAGAGAAAAAAACAGAGAGAGAAGTTTGAACATGATCTGGAGCTAAAAAAGGAAAGGCAAGACCCAGATGTAGATCTAGAGTTGGAGGCCCAAGGTGATCCTCCAAGCTCACAGTCCAATGCAGCAGATCCCTCTGAAATCCCAACTGGTGCTCTCCACTCACTTCCCTTGTCATTCACTCCCTTTTCTACTCCATTTCTTAGCCCCTATGTTCTCTCCCTTACTCCTTCGGTGGTTGGGGATGGAAGCAAAGTCCCCATCTTTCCCAACCCACCAACCATCACACGCTTCTCCAACTCTCTTCTCTCGCAATCTCTCTTCTCACAAAACCAAACTTCCCACTACCTGTCCAATGGTGACGACTGTGAGTCAGCTCTTGATCTCAGCATGGGCAAAAACAGCTCAAAGTCTGCTCTGTCCTCATCTCTGGCTGATACAATTGCAGCACAGAAGGGACAGTTGCTGGACGGACTTGGCCTGAGGCCCACATCCAAAGGTCTGGTAGTCGTCCAGGTTAAGCCGGAATCTCTTACTGCCATGCCCTCTTCTAACAATGTTACAAACATGGTCAACTGCAGTAATGTGACCAAGTCTAGCATTTATATGAGGCCTGGAGAAAAAATGAACACCACACTATTGGAAAGGGACCGAGAAAAGGAGAGGGAGCAAGAACAGGAGCAGAGGAAGTCCAAAGGAAAAAGGTACCGGGATATGCGTCGTTCAAGGACCATCATACAAGCAGAACAACTTGATATTCTGTATGGCTGCTATTTCAAAGACCCAAATCCTGGGAAACATGAGTTTGAACAGATCTCAGAGTGGGTTCACCTTCCAAAGAAGGTGGTTCAGATTTGGTTCCAGAACATGAGGGCAAGGGAAAGAAAAGGCGAGGTCAGATTCATCGGCGACGGGACCTTGGCGGCAGTTGGCAAACCTCTCATCAAATTTACTTGGCCTCTTTCCAAACCCATATTCACTAACAAGCCTGCTACAAACAATACCGGGGGAATTACAACTACTCCGATTGTTCGCACCCTCATCAAGACAGAGAGGGAGCCTGTAAATGAACTGGCCAAACAAGCGCCAGTTGTGATGAAAAAAATATCCCCCGTTCCTATAAAGCCGAAGGAGATCGTTTCTTCCACCACAGCATCTCCTGTGAGCAGCAGTGCTTCCGCAGTGCCAAAGACCACGCTCGAAACCACCAGCAACATCACCATGGTTAAAGTTGCACCCAAAGCAAATACCCCTGTCCTCTTGGTGCCACCCAAGGATTTGATTCCAATTGCCCCACGACCAGCCCTGAAACGAAAGCTAGAAGATGAGAGTGAGGAAGAAAAGACCGATGAGGAGCGGGATAACGAAAATGAGATTGGTCTTGGACCAGGAACCACTAACCGCATGGTGCCGAAGCTCCCCACAACTCCCATCAACAACAGGCCTTCAGCCACAGCAGTGGTGCCACAAAAACAGAATGGGCTGAACTACTGGACTTCCAAAGTCCCCATTAAGATCAACACTCTATCAAGAGAACAACTGGCTCTTCCTACGCACACAGCTCCTCGTACCATCCCCCCTCCTCCCACCCCCAGCATTGCACCAGTCAGCCCTAACACCCCTAGTTCTGCCAAAGTGGCCAGCCCTTCCACCCCATGTGTAGCTAAATCAAGCCCAACAGAAAGCAGCTTTCTGCCCCACTCATCCAGCCGTAGACCACGCACTCATTTGTCCTGCCTACAACTGTCCATTCTGCAGTCATGTTACGAGACCTGTGCCCATCCCAACGCCATGGAGTGCGAGGCAATTGGCACTGAGCTCAACCTGCCGCTCAAGGTGGTGCAGATTTGGTTCCAAAACACAAGAGCGAAGGAGAAGCGCTGGAGGCTGCAGCAGGAGAAAATGGTAAGCTGACAAGTTTTTCTATGAGAATGACATTAAAAAAACAAACAACTTTTTTCCCTCTTTTTTTTATTGATACATCGTTAAAAATACAAACTTACTGTTTATATTTGCAAATGTAATGCAGAGAGTAGGAACACATGCTTTTCTTTAAAAATATGTTGAATCAGAGTTTTATTTCGGTCTGCTGTGCGGTTTTAGAGGTGGTGTTGGAGTATTACATTCAACCATTTCTACCCTGGAAAATCAGTTGAGACATAAATGGATAAAGTAAAGCAATGGGCATGTATTTCAGTAATCCTACTTAAAAATATCTGACAAATAAAAGCTCCAAATTCCCTCACTACTTTCACTACTTTAATGACAAGCTTGCTTGACTCTTGTCTTTTGGGATTACCACTTTATACACATAAGGTTGCTGATATGGTTGAGTTCGGTAATATTGCTCAAATTTAAGGAAACTTGATAACTTGTCCTCAGCAAATATCCAGACAGCCTAAATTTTGCTTTGTTCATTTTAAAACTCTGAACATTAAACATACCTCCTTTCCTTCTCTGTTTGCATCTCCACACTCCAATGTGGGATTCTCAGTCTCCTCTTTCAGGCGGGAAGGTAGACATGAGCTCAGGAAGCTACCTGCAGTACAGCGCTCTCAAAGCCAATCGACCCATCCTGCCCAAGCCTGTTCAGCTAATGGTTACCGAACCTCCAGCTTCCCCAGTGCCCGGTCAGCCGGTGCCAAAGGAGACCCTGACGGGGCGCTGTGATGCTTGCAACGTCTCATTTGAATCCCGGGCTGCAGCAAGGGCCCACGTCTTCTCTCCGCGTCACCTGGCAACCCTGAGAACCACTAACTTTGGCCAGCCGACGGCGCTCGTCAACAAGAGCGGAACCAGCAGTGCTGCTCTTTCCACTACTGTAACCAGCTCTGGCGGTGGTTCTGAAGGGGAGATAATAATCGAGTTGCCTCCAGCGATGGCCACCAGCAACAGTTAAAGACTCAGATCAGGATTGGTCTGCACACTGACTATTGTTGGACCCATTTGGGCTCCTCAGATTTTAATAAACAGATTTGAGCACTAATCCTCAAAAACTAATATTCTTTAGTTTTTGATGTTTGCTCCCCCCTTGCACCCGCTATCCTTTGCTCAACCTACACTGACTTGATATCCGTTATCTGTAGAGCTCACCTGGTATCAAATACAACAGCAGACTCTTTTCTTGCTGCTTGTCACTTAATCAGTTGCTGTCTGATAAGTGATAACACCCCCACCCTCCTCAGAGTTCCCTTAATCCTCATTTTATCCAGACATTTTTGGTCCTAACCCTGTGGTTATGTATTACCTTACTTCTATGACCTTCCTATAATTTGTAAAGGCACTCAGCTTGCCACGCTTGAGCTGTTGTACCCTAAAAACTGATGCAAGTGTTTCCTTTTTCTTTTTTCTTTCTTTTTTTGGCAGAGGCCATGGGGGGATTTTTGGGAAACACTTTTTGGGATAACATGGAAATGCTGACATGTATAACTCCCACTTTGCTCCTGTGGAATTGTTTTTCTCACGCCTACTTTCACTTTTAGGGCAAAGATTGCTTGGATAAAATACGACTGGACTAAATCATTGGGAGAGAAAGAACTGGTCTTAACCGCCACCCTTTTTAATTGCCACAGAAGGGTGAAATGAAGAGTTTTGTCTACTCACTACTTTGGGATATAAAAGGAGGTACTTTGGAGAGAATAGGGCTGTTGAATTGTTCCCATATTCATGTTCATAGTTTCACGACAATCCAAATAGGCAGCGCAAAAAGAGGCTGAGGGAAGTAGAATCTTTGGCATACCGCACTTTGACACATTTTACATTGTTTTGAAATGTTTTTAAGCATTCGAATGCAGGTGTCTTTTATGGAAGGATACGCTGATGCATGTTGGATGCCTTAATATAAAGTGAAATAGTTTTTTTTTTGTTTTTTTTTTTTTTTTTTTGTTTTTTTGATTTTTGTTTTTTTTTCCCTAATCAAATGAAACATGCTTTAGGTGTGAGTATAATACTTGGGCGTATTGAAGAAGAGCTTTATTCCAAAATGCTTTTACATTAACGTTTTTTTGTTTTTGGGAGAATATTTGTGAATGTCACATGTTTATAAAGTTGTCAGCAATCTCTTGGCCAAGGTGTAGAATTACAAACTATCATGCTTTCACACGTTTGCTGTAAATTTCACTTCCTACCCAAATGTGTGCGTCTCATTTTGGAATTTAGCTCTTCAGACTGGTGGGTGAAGATTACTTTTTTTTTTTTTTTTTTTTTTTTTTTTTTAAACGGCTACTGTGGGATACACGTCCAAGTCCGGGAGATTCCTGTTGGAGAATTCAGTCTGAATTTGACAAATTGGGCTGATTTCCTCACCGTGTGTGTGTGTTGGGTTTTTTTTTGTTTGTTTGTTTTTTGGTTTTTTTGCGAATACTATGTATAAAGCCCTTTTCAGACTTAAAATTCCTGGCTTCACTAGTCTCTTTAAAAAAGGATGGCTAACCCCCCATTTTGTAGGTCACTTTTGTGTGCTGCATGGTGCTGCTAAGACTGATGATTCCCCATCCCTCCTACACAGGCTCCGAAACACATCCCTTCTGACTTGGGATTAATGAAAATGCACCATAGAAGAATATTTTCAATGTATAGCAGATTACAAACTGTGTAGAAAACTTGCCAACAGCATGCTCTGTGTGCGCGTGTGCGTGTGTGCGCGTGTGTGTGTGCGCGTGTGTGCGTGTGTGTGTGTGTGTGTGTGTGTGTGTGTGCGCGCTCAAAGTGATACCTGAGTGTTAACCAGGCTGGCGCACTACCTTTTACACACAGGTGACCTGCATGTCGATTCGGACAAGGAGCCGACGGATGCCGTCACCACTGAAAGGGGCTTTAGACAGCAAAGTTACGAATTTCTGTAATCATTTCAATATTTATACAAATGATACAAAAAGCAATTCAAATCTGGCATAACAGATCTTTATTCTTTTTTTTTATTTTTTATTTTTAATTTTTTTTTAAAAGATTTCTTTAGGTCAAAAGCCAAAACTCTAGACTGAGACAGCAGGGTTTGAAATGGTTTGTCCCCCTCCTCCCCATACTTGTTTTCCTCTTGGGTTTTTGTTTTTTTTCTTCTCCTCCCCCTCCCCCCCTCAGTTTTGAAGCAGAGTGGGTGATTCTTGTAATGTTTGTGCTGTGAAACGAGAGCTAATATCTGAAACCACAACAAGGGAGACAGCTGGGTATTACAAGCATCCTTAAGGGACAAACAGATATTCAAATCTAGGAAGCAAATTAGGAAACCTAAAAGAAAAAAAGTGTGTGGAGTGAGAGCTAATAAGATGGTGCTGTGTTGAAGGACACTTAACATACTAAAGATGTTTTCCTTCAATTTAAGTTGTATATTAATGTTACTATTGATAGTTTTAACAAAATGCAAAACTAAACATGAACTTTTTTTTTGTAAAGAAATATATTAAAAAAAAAAAACCTGATATTCCAAAGTAATCCTCCCTTTGCTTTCTGTCATTCAAAAACCAAAAAGCAATCTTTAGGTTGACAGAGAGCAGGAGAGGTGTTCGCAAATGCAAACTGTAAAGGACGTCCCACGGCTTGACACTTGCACTAGTCCACAATTTTTGCACAAGCTACAGGCATTTCAAATGAACACAGCCATCACCACAACATTTAAGAGTCACTCGGTGTGGTTTTTTGAAACAAGGAGGGTAATGCTGTCCTTTGACAACTAATAATTTCTTACTCCTGTTGGAAACTGTATCTTGTGTGTAAAGCAGGGACTGGAGTGCTTGATCCTCAAGACTGGGATTACACACGCGCACACACATAGACATGGTGTTGCACTGTCCAAACTAGATACGTTTTTATGGAGATCTGCTTTTTATTCTCTTATGTTTCATTGTCACTTTGATTATCACTATTGTTATAACTGTACTACTACTTATACGATTTATTATTACTACTCATCACTGTTTTTGATTATTGATTCATAATGGTTTTAAATGCCACCACTCTGCTCAGAAAGAGTCTGGTATTCCTATGAATATTGAACAATAATAGTGGCAGTGTTGTTCTGAATTGTTAGATTTTTGATTAAGCTTATTTTTCCTCCTCACTTGTACCTGCCTTTTGTGTTTGGTCTCCATTATGCTTTCTTTGATATACAGAAAATAAAATCATTGAAGAACAAAGCATATCTCGAATGATTGAAGTGCAGCTGAAGCATTTATTTGTGTGTCACTAAGGTTTAATTCTCCTAACGGAAGAATTACTTCATCTAAGAAGCTTTGCTTGAGTGGCATATTTAAAACAAAGGTCACTCTGGGGGAGACAATCTATGTGACACACTCAGATGTGATTGGAATTAATTTGCTCAACTACCTTTGCCAGTTTACTTGTGATTGATTCGATATAATGGGCAGAAGCGTAATCCAATTAGAGGCACACATGCGATTTCGGAACCGGAACGTCCTGTTTCATTAACCAATAGGAATGCGGCTAAGACCGAAGAGGTTGGTCTAGAATCCTCGGTTAGCGAATGGGAGGGAGATTCTTACGCCTGCAGTGATCCATGGCTCCACCCCTAGCTTCCATTTCTGAACTGAAGGGACGCCGCCGCTCTCGCGTATAGCCCTCGCCTTTTTTTATACACACATTTAAGTAAATAAACTAGGTTATCTGTCGTAAGTTAGGACCATTTCCTAAAGGTAGCGTAAATCAGTAGTCCCCGTTCATCGTGGTATGCTGTTTGAGTAGTAGCTAGAAGTGAAGCTAGCATTTTATTCCCCATTTTAACTTTACTAAGCGGCGTTTTCCGCCGTTTTTTTTTCTTTTCGCCGCCCCGCTCACTCTACCCCCTTGTGTGTGAGTAGGGGCCTGCAACGTTGGTTTGGCCACGAGGCGCGTCGGTACAGTTGGAACAGGGCGATGGCGGAGTTCGGTAACGGACTGGCGGAGGAATCTCTGCTAGATTCAGACCCCGGACATCCCGAGCTGGAAGACCCGGGTGTCGGTGACGAAGAGCCGGGATTAGAAGAGGGAGAGGCCGCAATTGAAGATCCGGTAAGTGAAGGGCATTGTTTCTAAAGTGGAAACCCACATGAATACCGAGACACTTTGTGGTCGTGGCGGAGCATCTAGTAAAAGCAGGTGAACAATTTGTTGATTTTTTTTTCATCCTCCACACGAATCTTGGGTCACATGCCGTGTGCGTTACTGCTATCGCCAGGTCTGTGTTAACCGCCATTGTGGTTCACGCAGTGCAGTAGAAATGGGTGGTGACATGCGTGGTGTCGGCAGCCATCTTGGCGCAACAGCGACGCCAGTTTCTCTGCGCCAGAGAGCAGCTCGAGCCGTTTGTGGGGGGTGGGGGGTCCTTGTCGCGAAAAAATGCGAGACGGAGATGCAGGAGACAGTAAGGGGCGAGGGTAGGACAGGCCGCCGCCATTAGCCGCCGCCGCTGTGCGAGTCTACCTCCTTAAGAAGGCGACCTGCTAACGGTAATGACCTCTTTTTATTCCCTTTTACCTTTATCATTTAACCGGCTGTGGTTGCTGCATTTCAAGCGCCGGTTTGCGCACACGCGAGCGAGCGGCCGCAGGTTATCGTTAGCTTAGCAAGCCTGACCATTAAAGGCTGCGGATAAAATGACCAGCGGACCTGTCAGCCGTAATCAGCAGTCACGAGATGAAATGCGGCATTTGCACCTCAAGCTGCTGGGCCTAACAGCAGCTGGCTTAGTAGCCGTGAATATTAAGCATGTGATAACGGGCTAACATGCTAGCGGATTTTAACAAAGCTGGTGTGGCAGTGGCAGACGTGCACCTGACCATCTTTGTCGCCTATTTTTCAGCCGACAATGGGGGTAGAGTCGTGAATCGCTGCTTGTTGGTGCACACCCTGTGTAATTGTTGAAAATGTAAAATTTGCATTAATCAGCCCAGTTAGTTGTTTTTTTTTAAAACATGCATATATATATATATATATATATATATATATATATATATATATATTATATTATTATTATTATTATTTTTCCCTCGTGCAGCTAACACACGAGTGCACAATGGCTGGGGTTGTCTTGAGTGACCAGGTGAGGGTTTTGAGGATGTCGGCCAGTGAAAGCGTGGCGTACAACGCAGAAGAAAGGGGCTGCGGTATTTGAGGGGCTGGGTTTGCATCCTTCAGTGTTTGGCTAGAGCAAGGAGAGCAAGAGAAGGGAGGGGAGTGAAAGAGCTTGCACTGAATATGCGACAAGACGAGACAAAAAAAGGGACAGAGAGAGAAAAATTGGAGTCGCAACGTGCCAGCGGTGGATGGCTCATCCCAGCGGTCCTGCTTTGAATGTTGATCACTTCCCATCCATCCATCATCTCAGTGTTGGTGATATGTGTCAGGGCATCAGTCGCGTGAATACACGCCGACCGAGAAATGATGATGTCTTTATTAGCGTGTGCAGCGAGTCGCTGTGCAGTTTTATAGCCCGCTGCGGTGAGAAGATCTGAATTTATTACAGTCCGTCTGTGTCGCTGCACCCAGTTTCACAAAGAGCTTTTTCATTACAATCCTGTCAGTAGTTCTGGATCGAGCTGGAGTGACTCCCACTGTGCTGCAGTGCACCACTGTCAGACAGGAGGGTCCACTTCCACATGAGGGCACAGCCAGCTCACTGTTTATCTAATAATAATAATATAAGTTTATTGGCATTATTTAGTTTAGCGGGATTGACCGCAGATCTCTTCATCATCTCGCTGCTTCATCTTTCCAAAATGGCTCTCCAGCAAAAATAAACACATTTTCTTGGAAATTAATATGCATATGACCATGTAGTGATGTATGCTGTTCCAACATAAACTGATAACAGAAGTTCATTTTTAGGCTAAGGTGACATTTTTGTTATAAATATATTTTTGCGTTGTAAGCACTTAAACAGTGAATGTTACCATGTTTGGACATGATGTTTTTAATCATGTGGACATTTGAAGTGCTGTTTGCCAACACTGCTTTCGGGCTGGATACTTAACCTTGGTTGGTAACCTTTTCGTTTTGTGTATGTATGTATGTGTATATGTGTGTATATATGTATGTATATATATATATATATATATATATATATATATATATATATATATATATATATATATATATATATATATATATATATAATTTTTTTTTTTTTTCTGCTCGCGCATATCTTGGCCTGGCGGTCCTCTTTGTAGTGGCTTTAAAGTCTGCTTTTGACTTGGGGGAGGTGCCTACTATTAAATTTAGGCAGGATGGCAGGGTATACTGCAAAATGTGGGGCATGAGAATAACTATAGTGTGCATGCAGCAGTGCAGGACTAGATTGAGGGTGCACTTAAAGGTGGAAGTAGTCCCAGTACAGGGTTTTCCCTGAGATTATCTAAGGGGCTTAGATCCTGTCTGGGATCTGGGGTTGGAATGTTGGTCTTATTCAAAGTCTGGATCATGTTTTTTGACTGTTGTTGTTACCATATTTGGATTTTTATTTATTTATTTATTTTAAAGCTGGTAATTCTTGTCGGTCACACATGTTAATATTAGTTTGACCCAGAGCTGGTCCTGACCTCCATGGAGCCAGAAACTTGTGAGCCATTTTAAATGTGAATTATTACACAGTTCCAGCTACAGTGCTTTATAGAGGGGAATTATGATGTAGGTGTTTAAAAATGCAGCAATCCACACAGAGAGGCCAATTAATTTGAAGCTATGTAAAGCAGTATTTTGCAATTGCATCACAACCAGAGTTTATTAACACAGAGATGGTTAACCTGGTCATATGGATTGGTGACTATTTTGAGGCTAATTTCCCACCATGTTTCAGCTTGTTTCATATGATGATTGTCTATAGAATGGGTGAATACCAACTTTGTGTGTATTTAGTTCCTGCAATAGGCAGGAACTAAATACACACCGAGATTTGATTCTGTTGCCTGATATGTATTGCTGTCCAAACAGTATTATGTTGCTATTCAGAAAGTGCAGGTTTGTTATCACAAACACACACACACAACCTCCCACACATCTTCTCCCAGTTGTAGTTTATAAACAAAGTTGCCCTTTTGGCGTTTTTAAATGTAGCCTCATGTATACCTGGGTTATCAAGACAAGCTGGACAGTGATGCACTGCAGTATCTACTTCATCCTCCCACTGAACCTGGAAACACTGACATTCCTTTTTGACATGTGGGGAAGCACTTCATGCTGCTAACGTTTTTACTTTTACTCCAAGTCCTCTCTTTACATTTGTTTGGCTTACAGCGTCCTCAGAGCTACTTGCATTCTTTCCCTAAGACTTTTTGTGGTTCTGCCTAAATCTTGCACATATGGATTTTACGACTTGTAGCTGATATAAAGTCTCTCTTTATACTGAGGTCATGTCACGGTCACGGCACCATTTCTTTTGCTATTTTGCCAAATGGGTGCCTAAAAATATTTCCAGGGTGTGCACACACTAGATCTCTTTCTGATTTATTCATTAAATCATTTTGGATTTGGAAGTTGGTGAAGATGGATCCAGCAGTAACTGGCATTGTGATATTGTGTTGAGCTGTGCACATGATGGACTGACGGCTCTGATGGAATCTGTGTCTGTGCTGCAGGAGCTGGAGGCAATCAAAGCCCGAGTGAGAGAGATGGAGGAAGAGGCAGAGAAGCTGAAGGAGCTACAGAACGAGGTGGAGAAACAGATGAATCTGAGCCCCCCACCAGGTGCGTCTTCTTTTTTTCCCCTTCCAAGGCAGACGCCTTCATTTTCCCCCCATCTGTCCACATTTGCCTTCTCGTCTCGTTCTGCTGTCACATTATCCAGTGAGGGGAAAGCCCCATAATCATTTGTCTTATTGTCTGTTGTGTGCTCGCTTAGAAATAATCTCACTTAGTAAATGTAAATGCTACACTCATTTTCAAGCAGTAACCCCATACCAGTTTAGGATGTGCATTAAAATATGGGTTCACTTTAATGCTTGGTTAAAGTACATTATTTTAATATTCAATTCCATGTTTTTAACCCTCAGAGATGATTTTTTTTTTAAATGCAAACAAAAAAACGTATGTTCAGTCCCAGTTTGCAATGCTCTTATGTCCAATTTTATAAGGTTAAATCTAAATAAATGATAAAATAGTTTACATCCATCAGAACTTTATATAATGCACGAATCTGAATGCGTGTCTGTGTCAGTATATTTATGTTGCTTAATTGCCCCATGTGAAGAAGAAACTATGATTTTGTCATTCTTGTGTAATGACAAAACTCGTGAATCAATTGTCAACTCCAATTTTGCCTTTATACTAGGGCTGGGCGATATATTGAGTTTTTAAAAAATATCGATATATTTTCATACGAGATATAAGATGTGACAATATCGTTTATATCGATATAGTCTATGTTACGTTATAATTATACTTGTGGAGCCACAAGTTTACCTCTCTTTCGTCCACTTTTGTCTCTACGCAACGTTACTCGGCCTCGCCTCTCCTTCACTGAATACAACTCCTCCTCCCCCATAGCTTCACCTGCAGGCAGCGAGCAGATGGACACGGCAAATCTCCGTTAGCGAGTTGTGGGGGTGGACGGCGTCAACGTGTTAGCGAGCTAACCGTGCTAACGAGCTAACCACGCTAACGACATGCAGCCCACAGGGGCTGCACGGACTAAAATCCTTTCATTTTCTCAAAAGTTGACAGCGCGCCTTATGTATGAATTCTGGTTGTGCTTGATGGCCGCGAACCGATTTTAGGTGGTACACAGCGCTCAGCAATCTGTCAAAAAAATGTTTTACGACTTTGGTAAGCTACGGAGCTGCAGCGCTTGGTGAATTGGCGGAGCATTACGGCTACCGTAGTCTGGAGCCTCGCGGAGTGATACGTACTGTGCTTCGACGTAATATTATGTGTATAAGGACCATAAGAGACGTGGTTACGAAGTGGATTTCAAACTCCAGGCTGTCAGTCACGCAGTAGAAGTTGGGAACAGAGCAGCTGTGAAATCTGTCTTTGTTATTATGCTCAGCGTCTGTTAGTTTACATTTTGACGGCACAATTATGAGCTTTTTGTTATGCACAAAAACAACATTGTTTTCTTTTATTTATGGAGCATTATTATTTAATAAATGCTGATAATTTATTTTTGAGTAATTTCTTCATGTAAATCTATGCTGTATGTAAATAAAAATGCCTGTGTGACATCTGGGACACAGCTTTGACTAAGAACTCTCTTTTTGTTCTTAACTTATGGCTTTAAAAAAATATCGAGATATATATCTTATATCGCCACCCAGCTAAAAAAAATATCGAGATATGAATTTTGGGTCATATCGCCGAGCCCTACTTTATACCATCCATTTGATCTCATCTTTTCATGGACTTTTCGATTGTAGGTGCGCTACATCTCACATTTGGAGTTAAAAACAGTAATTTGTCCTAATATGTGTTTCATTTCAATGTTGTTTCCTATGTAGATTTATTCTGTACTCTCTCCTCTGTGCAGTTGGCCCTGTCATCATGTCCATCGAGGAAAAGATGGAGGCAGATGGCAGATCTATTTATGTCGGAAATGTGAGTAACTCTTTGTGTCATGCAGATTCTATTTTGGCCACATTGTGTCTTGATTCTTGTTGTCGTGTCTGACATAACATTATGGAAATAATATGACGGGGGGGAAAACCAGTTGTGACACTGAATCATAAGTACTGGCCCTATTAAAATCACGCTCCGGTGGGTTTCCTATTTTTTTTTTTTTTTTTTTTTTTTTTTTTAGAGTCTGTGCATAGAAATCACTTTGTGCCTTTGATCAATCCTGCAACCAGTACAAACTTTATTCAAGGTGTTATCACTTTGGACTCTGACTAAGTATTTAAGCATTCGTGATACTCTGAAGAGTCTTTAAACTAGGGCTGCCACAAACTATTATTTTGATAGTCGACTAATCAGATCATGCATCCATTGGATGTACAGCTTATTGCACCAGCATGCATCTGCTCTTATATAACTATCATTAGCTTACAGCTAGTGTTTAAGATCTGTGCAAACTAATAATAAAGACAAGATGATAGTTTATTAAATTTTAATGAAATTTGCAGATTGTTTCGGTGAAGTTTAATAAACTCCTTGCTATCTAAAATATAACAGGACAACGGAGTATATTCTCCAGCATCTCACACTTTTGATAATCAGCTGTCTGCTTGACGTTTATTCAGCTGTGTAAAAACTATAACTTTAATCTCAGCCAAACCGATTTACTCAGGAACAAATAAAATACAAAAAAAAGCCAAACAATAACATTTTTAAGTTATCTAAGCGACTTATATATCATGTTTAACCCGAGTAGCGAAAGACGGCGGTGGGTTTGAAAACTGTTTGCCGGGTGTCCGGTGTTCTTACGGGCTCTAGTGAGCCTTGCCCCCGGCTAGCTATCGAGCTAGTGCGTAACAGACGTCTCCGAAAACGTCGGAGCGCCTTTGAAAATATGTGGTGTCTTGAGCAGATATTTGAAGTTTACACAGCTACATTCTCGCCTGAACATATGTTAAATGTTTATTTTGTGACCCAGAAAGAATAATAAGAATAATATTAAAACTAATTGGCTGCTGCGATTGTTGGAAACTGAGCTGGGCTGCGCTATGAATTTTGGGACAGAGCTGCTACTTCTTCTTCAGGGTTTAGGGAACACCTTCTGTTTCCAATCTTGGACAATAAGGCTACATTCACACTGCAGGCGAAAGCGCATCAAATCCGACTTTTTTGACCCATATCCGATCATGGTATGACCGTGTGAACAGCACAAATCCGATCTGGGTCACTTTCGTATGTGGTCCTGAATCCGATACATATCTGATGTTTTAGAAAGCGACTGCTTTTTGAATGGTCACGTCACATTAAATCAGTCTTTTACATCACTGACATAAAACAGATGCCAATTATCAGTGCTGGAGAAGACATTGTGAATGCTTCCTGGCCATCCAGTGTAGATGTTAGTGAAACTGTTGGGAAGACAACGTTGGAGAAACATGAACATTTTATTTGTACTGTATAATCTGCAGATTCTGACAGAAATCTGCAACTTTGGTCTGGGTCTAAACAGAGCGCGTTGTGTGTGAAGTCTTCTTTTGCACATGCGGGCCGCTTTGAGCGTTCACACTAAAGCGCCTTTGCTGTCACATTTTATTTGTAGTGTGAACAAGCAGACAAAAAAATCGGATTTGATCAAAAAATCGGAACTGAGCATTGAGACCTGCAGTGTGAACGTAGCCCAAGTCTGGTGGTTTGTGGGAATCCTTTGGGCGTATGCCTCACTGGTATCTCAGACAATTTTAAGGCAGCTTTTTACTTTTGACCTGGTTTTGTGTCACATTGTAAATACATTCAGAGTTAGTTTTTACTTTTGTGCTTTAATATTTTTGTTGTTGTTGTGTTTTTAATGTATAATACAGCGCTGGTGACGCAGCTGTCTTGATGCTAACACTTTTTTTAATATATTTTTCTGTCTGCAGGTGGACTACGGTGCTACAGCAGAAGAGCTCGAAGCTCACTTTCATGGCTGCGGTTCAGTAAACAGAGTCACCATCCTATGTGACAAATACACAGGGCATCCCAAGGGGTAATGATCAGAAATTCTACAGTGAAATGATATTATTGCATATTGGTAGCTGGATCAGTCAATTATGAGCACAGTACAATTATGAGTATGAGCACATTTTAAAAGCTTCTCTAGAGCTGGAAAGTTGATTATGATTCCTTTTATTCATTTCATATAAATCACCTGCAAATCAGTTTTATCCTTGGAAAAATGTGTTTTTCTTTAGTAATTACAAAAGGGTTTTTTTGTAGTGCTTTCTTTGTTTATAGATTAGTTTTACTGTAGCCAAGTGATTGATTTTATTTCCCCCCCTGCAGGTTTGCCTATATTGAGTTTGCAGACAAAGAGTCTGTTAGGACAGCCATGGCTTTGGATGAGTCACTTTTCAGAGGAAGGCAGATAAAGGTGAGACATTTTTGAGGTTAAATATCTCAGCTCCTTGAATGAGGTGGTAGTGTTTTTTTTTACAGTGTGTGGATCTAAGAAGTGTCAGTTTAAACCTGAGACTTTCTCACAGAAACATGATGATCGTCCATCTCAAAACACTTCGCAGTTGCAGCATGAACTTAATGGGAGCAACATTAGCAGCTACCTCACCAGTGCAGTAACAGGAGTACGGTTGACTACATTTAGCTGATGTGGTCATAATAGTCACTGGCCATTCTGCCTGTCATGGATAGGATTGTCCTGATTGGTTGCATGTCTACAAGAAGATTTTAATGTGTTTGTTGTTTTTTTTGTTTTGTAGAAATGTGGCTTTAGTGTCTGACCTTCAATTTATTGGCTCTTTTCTGGTCAGAGTTTCCCCAATATTGAGACTGGCCAGTCTAAACTAGAAGGTTCTCTGTTTTTCTTGCTGTGGCAGATGATTAAAAGCACTGATTTTAAAAATACAAAAACACAAAATTGAAGCTAAAAGGCAAGGTTGTTGAGTTTTTACTACGAATTAAGAGGAAACAAATTTCTTTCAGTGTGAAAGCACAGAAGACTGTTTGGATGTTGTGGTTTATGCAAGGTCCCCTTTTTCTTTAGGTGGGCGCTAAGAGAACAAACAGACCAGGCATCAGCACCACAGACCGTGGCTTTCCACGGGCTCGGTTCCGATCACGGGGAGGAAATTTCTCCTTGCGTGCACGCTACTACAGTGGCTACACACCACCTAGAGGCAGAGGACGGGCCTTCAGGTGAGCTGACACAGAGACATCGTCATGTCTGACACCAGGGGAGAGCACATCACCTGCATGCATCCCACTCACTGTTTACACTGAAAGGGAGCACAGGAAAAGCAAGGCAGACAGTCATGATGAGCCAGAGTTGACACTACTGTTAAAGATGGATTACAGCTTCTTGTAATGTTTGGAATTTAGAGTTCCTGAGGAGGCCCCATTAGAGAAGGCACCGGTAGTCTGGCAGAGGACAGGGATTTTAATAAAGTAAATAGACAACTTGCCTAATTAATTTGGGGCAGATTTTCAGTTTGCAAATCAGAAAATAATGATTGACTGGACAGAGGGCTGGTGGGTGACACTTGTCACGTCCCTCTTAATCTGAGCATGTGCTTGTCCAGTGTTTAAGTCTTTAAGATTAAAATTGATTAGTATAGAGAAGGTAAGTACAGAAAGGGCAAAAAGCCCCTTGTACACAGAGGTGGCCAATTTGAAAAGATTATCATGTACAAATCTAATTTAGTGAAGATGACATCATTAACTATCGTTTCCCCTCACGATTACAGCTTTTCTCAGTACCAGAGCTGACAACTGCATTGTACATATACGCTGTGTATCCTGGCAACCATATGAACAGCTAGTCATGTGATCGATCATGTGGGATTAAGTCCGCGCAATGCAGTAACAAAGTTTGATCAGATTGCCCACCCCTATCTGATACAGAAGTAAAAACTGTGCGAGCTGTGGCATAGAATTAGAAACACTCATCATGATATTATTACTTGTATATCAGTTGCTATACCCCCCCCCCCCCCCCCCCCCCCCCCCTTTCCTCTTTATTTTATTTGGTTACATTCATAGAATAAATGAATGACGGTCACACATTGATGTATTCTGTAATAATAAAGGCAAAAACACAACATGTAGCAGGGCTAACTGGTTGTGGGATTCATTGCATGCTGCATCACATTACGACCATTTCAAGACAGGCTTACGGACTCGCTGCACACCACCTTCTTCCTCCCAGGCTGCACATGCACTCTGCATAAATTGGATCTGTTTGGGCCACTGCCAATGAAGTTTCTGCAAACTTGACTGTAGTGGAAAGTTACTGGTGCAAAGCTGCATTACTTGCACTGGTGAGGTTTTTAACTTCTTTGGGCCACTAATTGTGCAGCAGCATGCAAACCATTTTTAATAATTGATGTTTGGGCTTTGTGATGGTTGATTCGCTCACCTGTAGCACTGGTTTACTTAAACACAGCATTTATCAGCAGTGGTGTAGTGAACACACTGATGATTGTGTTGTCTGGAAAATCCAGCAAAGTCAGTTTACTGTTATGTGGCTCTGTAAAGAATGAGAGAAAAAGCCTGGTGTTGATCAGTGTGTTGTGCACTGGGATTCTGGTGGCTCTCTACATGCAGTATTTTCACAGTTGCACACAACATCATGATTTTGATGAGCTCCACTTCAGAGTTCTGCTTTGGGGTCCTGTCAGTGGGTTGTTGTGCATCTTGTGCTGCACATGGAGGTAGTCTCTGCAGACTTGGTCACAGTGCAAGTTTGCAGCATTTTGTTGTTACCATTTTCCACCTGGGGCGAAAGTCTTTAAGATCTAGTGTTGCAAAAGTAATGAGTTCATTCTGAGTGTTGTCTAAGGAGCTTGGAAAGAGAAGCGCCTGGACTTCTTTGAGTTGCTTGAAGACATTTCACCTCTCATCCAAGAAGCTTCTTCAGTTCTGAACTGAACTGAAGAAGCTTCTCGGAGTAGAGTAGAGCTCAGTCTGTGGAGCCATCTTGTATTTTTTTTTCTTTTCTGTTGAGACTGAGAAAGGAGGTGTGGTGCCAAACGCGCTGATCAGCATGCCAACTTCTTCACATCCACTCAGATTTAAGACTGAGAGATTCTGATTTGATTGCCTCTGCAAATCATCTGGAACCTTGAGGGCCTAGGCTCTTTCTTAATACTAGATGTTTAACAAACAACATGTTCCAGTAGAAAGCTGCTGTAACAATGAATCCATTTGCCAAGTTCTTCTGACAGGCCCTATTTAGCCTATTTTATCATGTGATTTTTCTATTGTTTCATTTTTGCCCTTGGACTTAACTGGGATATTTGTGAAATGATTCCCCATTTCAGCAAGGCTGCTTTTAAATAACCGCAGGAAAGGATTCCATCTTGATTTGTTCCTGTGTGTGAGAAAGTGTCTGAACCTCAAGGTCAGAATCTCTCTAATCAGTCTGTGTACTCACTCGAGCCACTCCCACACATACCAAGAAACCCTAACCCTGATAGTTTACTCACTGGGATTTGGCCTGCGTTGCACGACAAGGCACACAAAGACTTGGGCAGAAACTGAGAGGATTGTATGTTAGATGAAGTCTCCTGAAGTTGAAAGCACTCATAATGAAGTGTTTGCAAGCTGAAAAAAGTGAAAGGAGCCTGTAAACGTTATTTGACTTTAAAAGCTTTAAGTGAGCTTGGGCCTCCAGTCGTTCCAGTCACGTTATCTGAGGTTTTAAATATGCTGCTCATTTTGACTCGCATTAACTATGTATAAATATTTCTGTGGTTTCCATCTGTGATTTGATGTAATTAATAGACTCAGAGTGATAGAAACCCCCCTCTTGGGTATTACTGGTAATACTACAGTGTATCATCTTATTATCTTACAGCCTTGGTTCACGTGTAACAATCAGCCACAGAGCAGCTGAACTGGCCTCGATAGCAGAGGCGAGCTGAAGAGCTGTGCGTTTGCTACATTGTGAATTCATCACTAGCCTGCAGTTCATAGTCATCCTACCAAGTTTCACTGGTGCCTTGTATTGCTGTGGGAAAGGTCCATGGTGAACAAACGCGTAGCTAAAAGTCTTTGCATTGACCTGTTGTAAGCTTGGGAAGATTTCACAGCCCGTGTGACGTCTGTAAGTCACGCGTGTTTCGATTGGCTTTGTTTTAGAAGAAGCAGAGATTTTATCAAAGCCCCGCTTTGTGTTCTGTTCCTAATCTGCACCTGAAACCCCGACAGAAAGCCAGAGCACAAAGATGATCAATCATGCTAACGTGCACTTAATTGACCTCTGGCTGCACAAAGTCTTTTCTCTGATATTGCCTCCATTAACATCATCCTCATCTTCCCAAGCTGCTGTGGTGAAAAGCCAAGATCTTGATGTGAGCCAGAAGACGCACGTACTGAGTAGATGATGTGGAAGAACCTGTTGTTTGTGCCTTTTGTTGTGGATGTCCTTGCATGTACATGACCCCCCACCTCCCCCTCTCCTCCTCCTTAACCACCTCCTCCTCAGACATGGCACACACCTTCCAGCTCAGTTTCAGCCTTCCAGCGTTCACTCCCAGAAACGAAGGTTCATTACTGCAGCCTGACTTCAGCATTTAGCCCATCAACCGCTGGACTTTTGAGTCCCAGTGTGACCTCTTTGTGTGTGTGTGTGTGTGTGTGTGTGTGTGTGTGTGTGTGTGTCTGTCTCACTGCCGCCTGGCTGTGTATCGGGTGGTGATGCGTGCAGAATAATAGTGCAGTTTATGTCGCTTTTTAACTGTGAATGTTTGTGTGCACTGTGTTGCTGGGGGTATATGTGTGGTGCTGTTTGTCCTCAAGGTCTTTCCCCACAGTGACCCCAGAGGCGGCTCTCGTACAGAGAGACACACAGAGAGAGAGAAAGAGGGCGAGAGAGTGCCTTTGCTGTCCCCTCACACCCACACACTAATCATTTTATCTGGAAATTAAACACTTTTCCTCTCTTGACAAAGCTGCTTTCAGCTTCTTTCACCACTATTCTTCCACACTGATTTGTTTCTAAGATCAAAGGCACATTTTTTTTTTTTTAAAAGATGTCTATTTAGTGATTTGTGAACACTGTCCTAAACACACTGTTTTTCTTTATTTTCTTTTATTTTTGACGTAGGTCAATATATTCATTCCCCGTTCACTTTACTTCCAGGACTGAAATTCAGACCCTTCCTCTGCCCACAGTCGCACACATGCACATATTTATTTACTACATCGCACCAGGAAATTGGTGTCCGTCTTCTTAAGCCAAACAGAAAAAACTCACCCTCTTTTTCTCTCTCTTTTCCAGGGGCCGAGGGCGAACAACATCGTGGTATTCCCCTTACTAAACACCCTCCCCCCCATCCCAAATACTTCCTTACTATCAAACCTCTCCCCCTATTTCTGTTCCCATATTAAAAAAATACAAACACACACAATGAAAAAGTCCTTTCCCTTTCCCCAACAATAAAAGAAGAGAACCCCAGAAGAGAGAAAAAAAGACAAAAAAGGAAAAAAAAAAACAAAAAAAAACAAAAACACACTTCTCCTGGACAGAGAGACTGGCTGGCCGCAGTGTGAGATTGTGTGTGAGCGTGCTTGTGCAGAGGTTGATGCGGTCACCCCTGGTAAGGTATACATTGGCCTCTTGGGGGAGGGAGGGGAGGATTACTATGGCAGTGTTTGTTTGTTTTGTTTTTTGTTTTTGGAAGAGGGAGGAAAGGTGGGGATGAGGTATCTGGGGGGGGATGATGGTATCTCAATCTCAGGCTGCAGATGTGTCTCCTTTGGTCTGGCTGTGACCTCCTGCTTTCACACAATCATCAACACAGCCCACCCACTCACCACCGCCTCCACAGCAGGGGGGGGAAGAGAGAAAAAAAAACATACACAAGAATACACATTGTTCTCTTTTTTTTCTTTTTTTTTTAATGTAACATAGATATGTGAAACTTACTTTAGCTATCAAATATTTGTGTTACGTTTGTGGTTTGGAGTTTGTCATTACCTGCTCGCACCCTCTCCGACCCCTTGTGTGTCTCCCATTCTCTGCCCCCTCTTAACCCTCCTCCCCCCACCCTTGATTTATTTTATTTTTTTCTAACGTTTCCTTCCCTCCAACCTCTCTTCCTTTCATCACAACATGGATTATGTTGTGTGCTGTCAGCTTGATCTGTGGACAGTGATGGACCTTCAGTGTTCAGTGGAGTTGTATTTCTTTTTGTTTTGGGGTGTTTTTTTTGTGGGGGGTTATTGGTTGTGCTGCCACATCCTTGCCGCTCGTCCATCCTTGTCACCTTCAACTCAGGCATGGCTACAGCTCTTTCTTTTTTTTTTCTTTCCTTTTTTTTGTTGTTTTTTGTAAATTCTTTTGACAGGCATCTACTGTTTTTACTCTTTATTTTCGTGCAATCCCTCCCCCTCCCGCCCCTTTGTTCTTCCCCTCCTTCCCTTTGTGCACCTTGTCCCCTCCCCCCTCCTCTCTCTGTATATTAGACCACTTCTTGTCGTTTCAGGTTTCAGGACCAGTGGAGGCTGACAACCCCTCCCCAGGTGGCGCCGGCCCCTCCCACTGTCTCTGCAGCATCTCTCTCTCTCTCTGCTCCCGCTATGCACACTCACCCCATCCTGTCAGTGTGGGGGGGCGGGGGAGGGGGACAGGGCGACCACAGGCCCACCGCGGGGGGCATTTACTACAACAGCAAACGCTGATGATGCTTTTAGTCTTTTTCACACTTCAAATGTCTCTCACACACACACACACACACACACACACACACACACACACCTGTTCAACATGCACCGCAGCACACGGCAGTACAGATGGCACTTAACAGGCAGCCAACCCAACACATGATTTATATACAGAGAGCTGAAGCCAACATAGCTGAGTGGCAGGCAGGTTTGCTTGAGAGCGAGGAAGGCAGGACCAGAGACGAGGGTGTTTTTTGGGGCGCCCCCTTTCTCTGACTACGCGCAGTGCAGTCACGGCTTGTCTGAGGAAGGCCGACGAGCTAACAGCATCGATTATTAATTAAATGAAAGGAGTGGGCTGGAGTTGTTATTTTAGAATGGGGGAAGTCAGGGGTGGGGTTTGTGTGGAGACTTTTTTTTTTTCCTTTTCTTTTTGAAAAGGGGAAGGGGGTTTGAACAAATGTTTTGCTTCTTTTTTATTTTTATTTTTAACCCATGAGTCTGTAATTAGAAAAAAAAAATAAAAAAATTGTGTAAAAAGTAAGTGTGCATGTGTGCGTTTATTTGAATTTTACACCAATTCAAGGTATTTAAATGTAATTAACAGTATTCAGCATGCATCATTTAGGTGGTACTTCCAGGAAGTAATGGGAGGTGTGGCTTTATTTTCAGAATGAATCATTTCATTCTAGTCAGTCATTAAAATACCAACAGCTCTTGAGGTTATGAGGTGTGACGTTACTTGGGTGTATAATATACTGTGTATATATAATGTCCAGCAGTTGTGCAGCTTTGTCCAGGCTGACTGGGCTTTCTGTTAGACCCAAGTTGACTGCATACTACTTCCCCCATGTCATCACAGGTCCCTCAGTAGGGGTTTACTACAAAAGTTCCACTGTTTTTGTATGGCGTTATTTTTGTGCCACTATTCTGAGCGCACGTTAAAAAAAATAATAAAAAAAATTTGCAGTTGCAAGTATTGCATTTTGAGGAGAAATTTATTTTGAAAACGTTTAGAGCACCTGTGCAAATATGTGATGTCTTGATGAATCGAGCAGATATTTAAAGTTTACACAGCACCATTCTCGCATGAAAATATCTTAAAAGTTTATTTTGTGACCCAGAAAGAGTAATATTTCAAACTCTGCCACTCTGTGCTCCTGCGCCACTGCCTCGTTTGAGTTTTGGACGAAATGGATTCTGGGATATTGCATTTCGTCACGTCGAGCTGATTGGAGACCAAAACAGCCAAACACGTTTTTTTTGCATCCAAGTCTGTGATTGACTGGTTTTGTGGCACAAATATAACTGTGTACAGAAAGGGTTGAGCGCGCACGGGCAGAAATGTTGAGAGCGCAAGCAACACATTGGAGCGAGCGCAAATGCAAAAACTGAGTGAGAGGGGCTGCGTGTGTGTGTGTGTGTGTGTGTGTGTGTGTGTGTGTGGATAATAGCAAACACTGAAATACATTTTTTGCACGCAGCAATGAAGTTTGTTCACTCAAATTTAGCTTTTCTTCGCTCAAAATAAATTTCTGCTCAAAATGCAACAGTCGCAACTGCAATTTTTTTTTTTTTACGTGCGCTCAGAATAGTGGCACAAGAATAACGTCATATTTTTGTTCCAATTAACATTACAAGGGCCAGTTTATTTTGAGTGGGCAACATGACTGCCCTCTACTGCTGACATGAGGAAAAAAGGTCTTACAATGCATTCACTGTAGGATACAGGTCATGAGGAATGGTTTCTTTATTACAATGTTTACAGAGACTTTATAACAATTAGCTGCTGGTAACATCCTCTGACATGCTGTCCTCAGGTCTAGTTGCGTTTCTTGAAAGCTGAGGAGAAAAAAAAGGACTGCTGCATTTTATTTGAATAAAGAGAAATTTTTAATAATACTAGTTCACAGGTTAATTTGGTCTCGTGGTATTTCAAAGTCCTTACCTTTTCTTTTGGTTTTCTTCTTCATGATTTTCTTCTTTTTCTTGGGTCGTGGGTTATCCCCATCCTGCACGTACACAGAAAATGCATCAAAACCACATTAAGACTGTAATCTAAATAAAACTGAGCCACAAAGCTACCATTCATACTGTACAAAGATGGGCCTGTTAGCAACACTTTGTAGCTACTCATGGTGCCCAGGACAAAATCTAAACATAGCACATCGATTTTCCAAGACTTCCTAAATACACACAGGGGTTTTTCCACATCTGCAGGCAGGAGAGAAGACTATCGGCAAGAGGCTGAGCGGCCATTACTCTGACTTATTAGTGCTTTTTATGACAGCAGACAGTTAAGACAGGAAACAGAACAGAGCCACAGCATGCCAAACCTATGTAGGCACGAAGTGTAGCTGTTGCCAGCAGTACTGCACCAGACAACTGAGTCACCACAGCACTCAGCATTTTAAGGTAAACATTCCAAACCTCTTGAAAATATCCAACTGGAGCCTTCTGTCAGATTGTGTGCTGGTAGCAGCTCAGGTTTAATCCCAGTCAGTATAAATGATGAAGTCTCAGTTCGGTTTAGAGATTAACCAATAAACAAGGCAGAAGCTCAAAATCAAAATACAATAACGCAAACACACCTGCATCGCCTCACCACCGGTCAGAGCTGTGATGTCACCAAAGTGTGTTATACTGCTCAGCTGGTTGGACATGGCCATCATGCCCCTCTTCTTGGTGTTCCTCTGATGCTTCGGCACATTGAGACGCACCATCATCGACTCCTCGTAGTTCTTCCTGTGTTGAGGTAAACACATACCATTTACACAAACCACCAAGCAAAGAAAAAAGAAAGATGATGCTGCAAGGTCTTGCTGAAAGACCCCTCAGCACCGTATCACCCCAGTAGAGCTCTTTACTCTGAGACTGCTGGTTTACTTGCACTTCCCAGGACATTTAAAAGTATAATGGGAGGCAGAGCATTCAGCTTTCAGGCTCCTCTTCTGTGAAACCAGCTCCCAGTCTAGATTTTATGTGATTATCCACCTCTATGCATTTAATTATTAGTTGTTATTAATCTCTAATGTATTTTGACTTGTCTTTCTCCCTTCACTCTGAGCCTGGTTCTTCTGGAGAGTTCTTCCTTTTTAAGGGATTTTTTCCTTCCCACTGTTGCCAAATGCTTGTTCACAAGGCCTTCTCTGACTACCGGGTTTTTTTCTGGATTATTGTAGGGTCTTTAAATCACAATATGAAGTACCCTGAAGTGACTGGTGGGATATTCTGCTGTATAAATAAAACTGAATTCAATTAGAAGTTTATCTCACAACACTTCCCATCTAAATCAAGTAGCAGACATTATGACCACCTAACACCCATCTGTGTGTAAAGTAAATGAGCAGGAACCTGTGGAGCTCCTCGCGGCTCTCCCGCTCGCTCTGGAAGTCCCGTTTGTCTCTGATCTCCTCTGGGGCGTCGCTGTACTGCTGCCTCAGCTCCTGGATCACAGAACTCCGGAGTGCTGCTTGTCGATGACGCTCCAGCTTGGCCTTCTTCTTGTCTGCCTCTGTCATGTCACCATCTGGATGTAACGGGTTTATTTTTTGGTTAACAAACAAGCAGGAGAAAGAAAAATAAATAAATTATAAGCTTGCTATAACAATCCCACCCCCCACCCAAAAAACCCCAACAACAACAAAAAAAAACCTAACAAAAAACCCCAAAGCAGTATTGAAGTACTTTATAAAGCAGACCGGTAACATTACCATAATGCACTGGGGCAATCTTTGGTGGTATATATTTCTTGCCACTAGAGTGGGCTGCTTTCTTTTCTGAAGCTGCCTCGTTCTCTGTTTCGTCTTCAGACTCAGATTCACTGAGCTGCAAAAAAACAAACAAGCATTTATCTTTCCTACTAATACAGGAAGCTGATGTTTGGATGCATGTGTTTACAGTTTGATAATGTGACAGTAAAAGAAGGAACCGGAGCCGTCGTGTTACTCTGGTCTTACTTTGCTGACGAGATTCTCTGGATTGGGACGCAGCTGCAGTGGGTCATTTTCAGCTGAAATCAACAAAAGCATCAGACACGGTTACGCCTACCATAAGTGGATAAATGCAAATCTTGCTGTGCATTGAATCTGATACGCATCCTTTCAGTCAAAGCTTTCTTAGACTGCACAGTTCTGAAAATCTGATCACTTCGGTCTTACCTAAACTGCCGGTAACAGCCGTGCGCACGAGTTTATCAATCTGATACTTCAGTTTGTGGTCTAGAGGTCGCATCTTCTCCAGGATCTTCAAATAAACAACAACAACAAATCAAGATTAAAATAACACGTTGACTGCAGAGAAATCGAACAGCGTCACTTTTACAGCCTCTTACCGTTCTGATTGTGACCACTCGGTCTAAGGCATCACTGTCTTTTATTTTGCCTCCTTCCGTCTTGATGCTGATCAGGTGAGTGAGGTCCTGGAGATAGAAGAGCAGCAGGTGGTACCGAAGGTCCAAAAAAGACAAACCCTGCAGGAGGAGAAGGCGGACAGATGGTCAGAAAGGCCTACAGACTGCACTTCTTTCCCTGACCTAGAGAAATGAGAAATCCTGCAGGAAGTGTGTCAATACTTTTATTTAACACAGCCTCATTAAAGAGGATGCATCAGTCTTGCCTGCTCCTTTCAAACCAAACGGCACTTTGGTCAGATTACCGTAAAGACTGGACCTGAGGAGAACTAGCATTTCAAATAGTCGTTACGCACCTTCGACGTTTCCAATGCCCCATCTTTGACTTTACTCAGCAGCTCACGTACAAGACCCGTCACCGAGGCCACCTAAAAACAAAACTTAGATTTATCTCTTTATTACGGCCACAAACACACATTATTTCTGAGTTAAACTAAACATTACGGGATTATTCTTTTTGTTTTTAAGTTCTTACCTGTTCAGTGAGATTATTCAGCAG